GGGGAAAAAACACCGGCCACGGGACTACCCAGCTATACCTACCCCTCCTCTGCTCAGCTCCTGAGGCCACAGGGAAGATGGAAGAAAGTCCCTTTTCCAGTGAGGAGGAAGATGAAAAAGAGGAAGAAATGCCTTCGGAGCCAGACCTAGAGCAGGTAAGTGGCAGGAAGCCAGCTGGCGGCTCTGTCAAACTAGGAGGCATCTGCCAGGAATTCCCCACCCCTACCACAGAAGCACCAATAGCCTGCATCCTCCGCTTAGATGTCTTCTCACCTAGTCTGACTCTAGGTATCTTATTTACCTGCTTCCATCCAAGTTTCTCACCCTTCAAGTTTCCTCCACTCCTAACTAGGGGTCAGGCCTTCTGCTGACTGGCCCAACCTTCCCACAGACTCTGCAGACCTTCGCTAATAACGCAGGCACCATGACTAAGTACCCAACGTGGTATCGAACCCTCATGCGCAGAGCCAAAGAGGAGGAGATGAAGAGATTTTGCAAGGCCCAGGTGAGCCCCAGGCTGCCAGGCTTCTGCCGGGGCCAGAGTTGTCTGAGCACAGAGCATCTGCAGTACTCAGTTGGTGAGCAATCTGGGGTGTCCTGTCTTAAAACCTGCAGACCATCCAGCGAAGACTCCATGAGATTGAGGCTGCTATGAGGGAGCTGGAGACTGAAGGCACGAAGCTGGAGCTGGCCTTGCGGAGACAGAGCAGTGAGTAAAGACCCGAGAGAGACGTGCTAGCAGACGTCTCTGGCTCCCGGCACCATGTTCAGCCCTCAGCGACCCCTGGGCCCAATGAACGTGTCATACGGCTGACACCCATAACAGGCTATTTCCCCGGGATCCTGTCACCCCGTGACCTCTTCCATTCCTTTTCCTTCTTATCAGGCTCTCCGGAACAGCAAAAGAAACTCTGGCTAGAGCAGCTGCTACAACTCATTCAGAAGAAAAACAGCCTAGTATCTGAAGAGGCTGAGCTCATGATTACGTAAGGCCGGGTTGGTGATGCAGTGCGAGCCCTGTCTTGTTCCTGTGAGTAACCTGCTTAGCTGTGCTGCTGCAATCTCTGGTCTCTGCAGGGTTCAGGAGCTGGACCTGGAGGAGAAGCAGTGGCAGCTGGACCAGGAGCTGCGAGGCTACATGAATCAGAAAGGTCTGTGGGTTTCTCATGGCCTAGGCACTGACCAAGTACATGCTTCTCTAGCCTGCTGAGACAACTGAGGAAACCAAAGGAAGTGATCTCCAAGCCTCGCTCTCCCTTCAGTCAGGGCTGTGCCATTGGCTTTTGTGCAGTGTCTCCTTCAACAGAAGGGCTGGTCCTGACGAAACCTAGGAAACCAAAGTTTGGCCCAAACCTAAGTTTGAAGTCTCAGCAAGTAGAGCCTGGGTTGTAGAAGCCACGCAGGCTGAGTTAGCATGACTCTCTCTTCAGGCTCCTGCCTGTTCACTAAGGCTCCTCTTTCCCCTCTAGAAACCCTGAAGACAGAGGCTGATCGTCAGTCTGAGGACCGGGTCCTGAGGAAGCTGTTGGATGTGGTGAACCAGCGGGATGCCCTCATCCGCTTCCAGGAGGAACGAAGGCTCAGTGAGATGGCTTCAGAGACGGGGGCCCAGGGCTAGGCGCTGCTTAGCTATATGCCTGCCTCCCTGCCCTGTAAGCAGACATGAAAGGGCGGTACCTCTGTCATCTGGACTGTCTAGTAAGGGGTTCGTTGTTAAAAATAAAAGTATGATGGCCATGAATTGGTTTGTGCTGTGTGTGGTGGGAGATGGGAGCGTGCATGGAGGGCAGGTGAGGGCCGTGCTCTGAAGTCCACACAGTGACAAGCCACTGACCTCAGTTCCCATCACGGCCTCTGCAAGGGACAAGGCAGAGCCACCGCAGTGTGTCAAGTTTTATTGTTCTTCAGCTCTGCCCACCTCCTGCTGTCAACAGTGGGGCTAGGTGAGGCTCTGAGCCTAGGTCCTGGGTTTCCCTTTCCCTTCTGAGAACATGTTGGAGTTCAGCCTGGACCCGACACAGGCCTTTGGCCTCCTGCATGTGGAAGATGTAAACTGCACCCGCCCCCAGCACCAGCCCCACACTGGGTGTCCAGAGCAGTATGGCCACTTCCCTGGCCCCTTCTCCTGCAGCCAGGACACATAGCAACACCAGGAGGAACAGCCCCAAGACAATCACGTAGCCAGTGAATGACGCCCACCAGCGAGCTTGAGCTACGCCTAGCGCCAGCTCTGTCCACGCCTCCCTTAGCACACTGGTCAGTGCTGACCTTTCAGCTGGTCCTAGAACGAGGAAGAACAGGGTCAGAATGGAGGCTGGGGCTGCCTAGGAGTAGAAAGGGGTAAGGGGAAAGCTTTGACTCACCACGGGCAGGACAGGGATCTTCCTGAGGGGGGCTGTGCTTCACATGCAAAGTGGCCATGAGGGCCTCATGATCAGAGAAGGGGGTGCCATTGTGGGGGTCACAGCCTGTAGTGGTTTTCAAAGTCTTACAGTAGATGTAGAACCCGGAAACTGCCTAGGAAGAGTAAAGAAAGAAAAGTGTATACTCTCCCAGAGAACCAGCCAACAGAATCCTATTCCCCAGCCCCCGGTGGCCCAAAACTACATCAGCTGAACTAATGATCAGCACAGGCTGGCGACAGGAAGAGAATGGAGAAAGGCGTGCGGGGTAACAGCCTGACCTTGTAAAGCACATAGTCGATGCGGATGCCAAGTGGAAACGGACCCAGGTCCTGCTGGCTGACATAACAGTTCTTGGGTACCATGGTGCAGCCATCTTCAGAGCCCTAGAGGGAACAGATGGCTAGGATGCTTCGAGGTCGGAAGACCGTAGCAAGTGTGGTGGGAAACGATCAGACAGGGTCTCTCACCCTGAAGTCCTGAGTCTCCACATAGGCATCCTGAAGCCCTGTCCACTCTTTCAGCAGGCAGCAGCCCAGGTCTTTGGGGTGCATGTTGAGGTCCCCACACAACAGAACCACATCTGCACTCTTGGATGTGTGGCTGGGGGCACGAGGGAACAGAGTGATGACGAAGAAATTCTTCCCTTACTATCTGCCTTCTCAATGAAACCAGCTGCCCCTCTGCCCCAGTGCCCACCCATCCCCCTGTCCAGCCCAGGCTCACACACTGGATGAACTGGGCCAGTTCCCAAGCTTGGGTCACGCGGTGTGCTCGGTAGATGTCCTTCTGTCGACTGTACTCTGCATGTAGCTAAAGTGGAATAGGTGAGATTACAGATAAGATTAAGGCCGGAAGGTTGTCTAAAGCAGACCTGCATCACCGCTTGGCATGGAGCTTGGCACAGATGGGTGACCCTTGCCCAGAGCCGCCCTCTGATCCCAGGCCTCACTCCAGGCAGCAGAGCTACTGGAGTCCTTTCTCTACCAGACTCTCAGCCTAGCTTCACTCACATGGGTCACATAGGCATTGAGCACCAGTCCATTCAGACGGAGCACCAGCAGCCCTACAGCCTTCCCACAAAACCAGTCTCCGTGATAGACCTGCAGGCAGAAGACAGAAACTCAGAGCACTGCCACCCTCCTTCTGCCAAGGCCCTGGAAGGGCTGCACCCAGCTTGAGTTAGCCGAGGTGGGGAGAGACCCTTACCATGTAGGGGTAGCCATTGAGAGTGTAGACATGCTGGATAATTTCCTGGATTGGGTGTTTGGAGAACACACAGAGGCCACTGCCGATTATTCCGCTGAAAGTCAAGTCTTGCTTAATAACTAGGAAAGCAAGGAGGGGAATACCCAGCCCTCTTCCTCTCCCTTGTCTCCCAGCTCTGATCAGCAACTTTTCTCTCTACTGCTAAGATCAGCCCCAGAACAAAGCTTAAGACAGCAGCCCTTGCGAGAGGATGCAGGGCCAGCCCGAGAGGAAGGGGGTGACGGGTGCAAGCAAGAATATGGGAGAGCCACGAGTGTCCTGGCCTAATAACGGCCCCAACTATAGATTTTTCACCTTCTGAAGTAGTGTGCATCTGGGTAGGTGAGCGAAAGTTTTTGCCGTAGGTACTGGAAGTCCTGCTCACTCCACACCTGAGGACAAAGGTGAGGATGCTTGCTTGGACTTCACCCCAGAGAGAAGATTACCCTGCGCCCCCTGCTGCCCTCTTCCCAGCCTAGCCTGCTACAACCTCACCTCCTGGAGTAAAGCCAGGTCGAAGCTTTCCAAATTCAGGAAGTCTCCCAGGCGCTTCATGCGGTCGGCCCTATGCTTGCTCAGGTAGGGGATGTCCCTGAAAAAGAGATGGCTCGGCAGTTAAGGGCACTGGCAGCTCTTCCAGAGGACCCGGGTTCAATTCCGGGCACCAACACGACAGCTCACAAGTGTCTGTAACTAGTTCCAGGGGATGTGACACCTTCACACAGACATACACGCAGGCAAAACACCAGTGCGCATCAAATAAAAATAAATTTTCTTAGAGAAAGAGAAGGGCCAGGTACGAGATGACTGCTGCCACTACCCTAGCTCTGGATTCTGGACGATATGGATGGCCTTAGGCGGTTCGGGAAAGACAGGGTCGTGGCTGAAGAAGGCCCACTCCTTTCCTAGGCATGTGCGGGTGGGGCCGGGAAGGTGGCTCGAGGCCTCAGCCCTCCTGGGCGCACTTACCAGCAGTTGAGGTTGAAAACCCTCAGCCGGAGAGAGAAGTTGGGCTTCATGGCTGGGGTGCTTCTGGCCACGGGCTGACGGAGCGCACAGGTGGCCGGCCCCGTCCCGCGCCGCACAGTCCTACGAACGCGAGCCGGGGGCGACTCCCGCGTTACCGGGACAACAGGCCGTCCTCCAACCCGGAAAGGAGGTCAGCTGCAAATCCGGGGCGGGCTGCGCGAGACCGCCGGCAGTCCCGGGGAGGGTTCCGGGTGGGGACCGCTCCAGGCTCTTCGGTCCCTGGGCCGGTTCCCGGCACCGCGGCCTACGTGTTCCGGGCTTAGCCCCGGCCCCCGGCTTCTCTAGCAACAGGCTCAAAGTTGATACGAAGCCCCGCCCCCCGGCCGCCCAGTCCCCGCCTCTTGCGGGCGTTGGGGGCGGAGCCACGCGGTTGCCGTGGCGATTCTCAGTGTTTGTGCTCCGGGCGGTCCGCTAGCGCTGCCATGGCCACTCAGCAGCCGTGCCGGCCTAAATCCCCAGCTTGCCGTACGCTGTTGCTGCCGGAGAAGCCGCTGCAGGTGAAGGTGGTGGGGCTCTTCAAAAGCTCCAGCTTTCAGGTGTCAAAGACCATCGCTGAGGTAACCCCTCCTCCCCAGACTCTACGAATCCCCTGCCTCGGTCCCGCCAGCGCTGGCGGGGTCCACGTTCTACCCTCCGCCTGGGTGGGTGTTGGGAGGACAAATGCAGGTCGCGAGGAAAGGCGACCCGGAAAAAGACAAGCAATCGCCTCGAACAGTGCGTGGGTGTGTGTGTGTGGTAATTTCCGCGCACCTATGAGTCGAGATGCTAGTCCACGTGGTTTTGAATCAAATACGGATTTACAAAACTCAAGGTTACGGAAAAGTATTACCGCATAACTAGCTGATTAAAAAAAAAGCAATTCCTTGTGATTTTTGGTAATTTCATTCTGGAAGCTTCTTTCCTTTATAGTTTCTGTAGGTGTTTCTGCGTTCTAACAGAACCAGATACTTATCAGATTATTAAGATGACCCAGACGTGCTGTGAAGAATCCATCTATGTCTTTGTAAATACGCAGAATGATGTAAAACACTTGAAAAACCAAACAAATCTAGCCAGGCCAGTCATGCCGCAGCCCATCTGCAACCTGAGAGCAGGAGAAACGTGGGAAGACGATAGTGAAACACAGCTCAGCCCCTGCCACCTGCCGATTGTGCTTGTTTTTCCAGATTGCCCAGATGGTGCAAGGGCAGCCAAGTCGAATTCACCTTCAGAAACTCTGCCTGTTGCCTGCTCCGGCATCCACAGAGTAATGGGCTGAACACCGACTGTGGAACTGAGAAATAATTCTGTTGTTTGGGTTGCTGTTGACATCTTGCACCATGTCCGAGTATGATATACTCAGGCTTCCTCCCTCTTGAAACGGTCATGCCTAATGGAGCATTCCAGGCCTGAGCGTTTCCAGACCACAACAGGGCCTCCAAGCATCATCCGTAGCAGTAGAGATTTAGTTACCAGCCCCCGTCTGCCAGCTTACAATCACTTATAACTAACCCCAGCTCCAAGAAACCCAACAGCCTCTTCTGGTCTCCTTGAGCATCCATATGAACTTACCCAACTTAATCAACCCCGACACACACAGTTTAAGAGTTTAGCGAAAAATGTTTCGCTAAAGCACACTCAATACTAAAACTTATCTAGAAGGTGAAACTTATTTAGCATTTGCTTCTCCTTTTCTTGAATGGCATAACCACAACAGTTGTCCTTTTGGTCATTTTCCTTACATCAATAAATTAAGACAATAATATTTATATTTTTTTTTGCTACTGAGGCTAAGCAATTTAATTTAGGGGAAAGTAGTTCTAAAAGAACATAAAAGATCCTTAAACCATTGGTATAAACTCATTTATTGAGTTATGTGTAGGTAGCCTACTATACATCAGATGTGGTAGCGATATTGGAAGACTAAGACATACCTTTGCCCTCTAGATCTTGTTTGCTAAAGGGAAGGGCAGAATGTCTTGGCGGAGCCTCTGAGAACAGGCCAGGGCATCTCAATCAGGCAGCATGGCCTGTGTGTGTTGTGTGAAACTGTCTGAAGGGTCCACAAAAATCTAGACAAATGACCAAATGGTGGTGGCACACGCCTTTAATCTCAACATTCGGGAGGCAGAGGCAGGCGAATCTCTGTGAGTTCCAGGCCAGCCTGGTCTACAGAGCGAGTTCTAGGACAGGCTCCGAAGCTACACAGAGAAACCCTGTTTTGAAAAAGGAAAAAAAGATGTAGAGAAATGATTTTGACTTTCCTAAGAGATCTTAGGGGTTGAGGTGATGCTCAGGAAGTGGAGTGTTTGTTGGGAAGGCATGAGAACCTGTGTTTCGAGTCCTGGTCCCTGTGTGAAGGCCAAGCTCAGTGGACTGCTCCTGTAGCCCTAAGCCAGCCAGTATAGCTGAACAGCTCCAAGTTTAAACAAAGACCTGTCTCAGCAAGTAAGCTGGAGAGGAGAAGGGAAGACCTCTGGTCCCCACGTGTGCATGCACGGCTATGTGCCCTGCCTGGTGCCCATGTGTGCATACAAGGCTATGTGCCCCGCCTGGTGCCCATGTGTGTATATAAGGCTATGTGCCCCGCCTGGTGCCCATGTGTGTATATAAGGCTATGTGCCCCGCCTGGTGCCCATGTGTGTATATAAGGCTATGTGCCCCGCCTGGTGCCCATGTGTGTATATAAGGCTATGTGCCCTGCCTGGTGCCCACGGGCATACACAATTATGTGCCCTGCCCCCGAGATGATAATACATAAATACATAAATGAGAGCTTAAACTATTCTATCTTGCAACCTAGACTCTGAAAAGCAATTACCCATCCAGATTTGAAGATCCTGTGATAATTCCTCTTCAAGAATTTGCTTGGGATCAGTATCTACAGGAGAAAAAGAGGGTAAGGGATATGTCAGCATGGGGGATAGTGACAAGTTCACTTCTGTGTGAATTATTTGTGCAGTTTTGAAAAAACTGACAAACTCCAGTATAATTATTTCTCTTAATTATGAACTTTCTCTAAGTTATTTTAACCAATACCATGAATCTCAGAGTCAGAGCTGACCAGAAGCCTTGGAGTGACAGCCTTTGTTCTTGTAAGATGTATTAACTGAAGACGACAAAGGGAGGCAGACTTGAGGCGCTGATCCTGGCTTTCAAATGGTTAATTACCTGAATAAAGCTTAAAGATTCAATTCTTGTTCCCTTGCTCACTGGGGCTTGGGGTAACAGGCAGCATGCACTACAATATTCTGGTTACAGAACCAATACTTCCCTGGGTACCACTAGAAATGCAGATGCTCCATCAGGTCCCATCCCCCAGTCAGACAATCGTATGGGCTCACAAATAAGATTCTACTAAAACCAAGTCACTCATGGTTTGCCAGGGCTGGTACCAGAAAACATCATGCCGTATCTTCTTAGGGGTCGATATTGCTCAGGTCACACGGGATATTTAGGAAGTTGATGACAGTATTGCATGAATGAAAGCACTAATATACTTCATTTTAAGTAGCTTAGGTTAGAAGTATTGGGGATAATGGGCAGTGGTGGTGCACCCCTTTAATCCAGCACTCGGGAGACAGAGGCAGGCAGATCTCTGAGTTCAAGGGTATCCTGGTCTACAAAGCAAGTTCCAGGACAGCCAAAGATATGCAGAGAAACCCTGTCTCAAAAAACAAAAGAAATAAAAAAGTAAAAGTATTGGGGAAGGTGAGTTTTCTTTTGTTCCTGACCATGTATGGATACTCCTGTTGGCCCTCAGGAGCCAGTCCCAAAGATGTTTTCTATCAGAATAATCACTGTCTCATGCCTGGGCTGCATGTCTTTCTTGCACACACGAGTGCACGCACACACCTCAGTTCTTTGCATTGAAAAGCATACCTCTCTCAGACCCTCTTCCAAGAATGCACACAGTAAAATGTGCTTCATAAATGGGGACAGAGATTGCATTGAGCTCACAGATTAATGGGACAAGTGAACTGTGTAGCTATTATTATTACCAAGTTTCATCTGCCTATGATTATAAACGTTTAAAAGATTGCTTTCTAAGTTGTTCTCTGTTCGTCATTCTGTTGAGTCTCAAAATGTTAAATTCTTTTTGACAGCAGAATTCTGAAAGATGGTTTTAAAAAACACATTTTAAAAGATTTAATCCTGTAGTTGGCAAATCAGGCTGTACAGTTAATCATAAGATCTGGTTTGTGGTTTTAGCATTGGTGTTTTTATTTTCCTGTCATCCCCACCCAACCCCCCATTTCTCTGTAGGAACTGAAGGGTGAGACCTGGGTATATTCCTCCTATGTGATGTGTTTTATTAACGGTCAGCTCCTGGGTAACGCATTTGACCTGAAGAAGTGGGCCCAGAAGGTGTGGGATGTGGTTGACGTTCGGCCCTCTGCACTGTATGAGGCGCTTACTTTGGATTATGCCACCAAGTTCTTAAAAGACACCAAGGCAAGTTACATAGATTTCTTTTTTTTTTTTTTTTTTTTGGTTTTTACGAGACAGGGTTTCTCTGTATTGTTTCGGAGGCTATCGGTCCGTCCCGGCCTCGAACTCACAGAGATCCGCCTGCCTCTGCCTCCCGAGTGCTGGGATTAAAGGCGTGCGCCACCACCGCCCGGCAGTTACATAGATTTCTAATAGAACGTTTTATCATTTGTATTACTTCAGCATTCATTGTTGATACACTCACAAAGCAGATACACCAGGAGATTAAGATGTAAGCCCCAGTGGCCTTATTAAGACCACTTGGCCGGGCAGTGTGGTAATGTAGATGGCTAACACAGCAGATCGTGTGAGGCCTCCCCTGAGACGTGTGTGCATGAATTACTCCTAGTAGAACGTGAACACCCTTTGATATGCACCCATAGCCTCAGCTTCTCAGGACAGTGAGGCAGGAAGATCATTTGCACCCTTAATTCTAAGGCCACTCTGGACAATGTAGCAAGCCCCTGTCTCACAGCAAAGCAGGGACTGGTGACTGTTATTAATGGGGAGGGCATGTGTGCCACAGCAGGCTTGGAGTTGTTTCTCTCCTTCACTGTTATGTGGGTTCTGGTGATTGAACTTGGGCCATCAGGCTTGTTAGTAAGTAAGGGCTTTACCTGCTGAGCCATCTCACTGGCCATATATGCCACGTGTGTACAGACACCCTCAGAGGCTAGAAGAGGGTGTTCAATTCTCCTGAGCTAAAGTTAAAAGCATTTGTGAGCCCCTTGATGTGGGTGCTGAGAACTAAACTCTTGTGTCCTCTGGAAGAGTATCAAGTGTGGTTAGCATCTGAGCCTAGTTTCCAGCCCTGGCGCTGAAATACTTTAATATTCTCTAACACCTCAGTGAGAGCAACTGTGTTGAGATTAAAAGTCTGAAAAGATGAACTAAGCTTAACCATCAGTCCTGAGTAAACTGATCTACAGGATGAGGACTGTCTTAGGGTTTCTATTGCTGTGGAGAGACACCATGACTAAAGGAACTCTTAAAAAGGCAAACATTTAATTAGGGATGACTTACAGTTTCAGAGGTCTAGTCCATTATCATCATGGTGGGACATGGTGACATGCAGACAGACATGGTATAAGAGAAGGAGCTTTAGAAACTGGGTAGGAACAAGGGAGGCCACACACCAGGGAAATGACCAGAGTCATGCCAGCATGGCACGCCAAGTTCATCAACCACTAGCCCTAGGCTCATGCTGCCACTATCATCATGGAAAATAGCTTCCCAACATGAATCATGTCTTTACAGCACTTCCTGAGCCCCAGGGCCCCGGGAGCACTTGCCCAGCAAATCTAGGCCATATGTGGGAGGAGGGAGAATCTGGCCCCTATATGCCCTAGCAATGCTTGTGAAACCCAATGGGATATTGCCCAGACAGGAAGAATGGTCAAGTGTTAAGTAGGATGGGAGAATTCAGCAAATCCTAAAGAAAACCGATGATTTGCTGTCTATCCTGAAGTGTAGAGACTTTGTCCAGAAGGAAACAGTCCAGCAGAACTTTTTGTAGACTACGACATAATCCTCTTTGCTTTTGGGTGTGGTGGTTGGAGCTGAGCCAGAGCAAGCTGATGGCAGGGTAGGTGTTTAGAAAGCGCTGTGGTGACATATACTAGGAATAATGAAAGCATGAATTAAAGGGTGACACTGAAAATGGAGGACCTAGATTCCTGATAAAAGACTAAGTATTTTTACAGAGGGTAGATTTCTTTTGCTGAGCCAAGCCAAGGATCTTGTTTATTTCCAGGTTGGAATGTCCTGCTAGACAAGTATGTTTGTGTGTTTGGCTCCTGGTGACTGGATGTTACTTTGAGTCACATTCTTTTGTCTCTCATCCTGAGCATTTTCAGAATTCTTTGTTTTTTCCTTTCAGTTGTTATTTTGAAGTAGGGACTATATGTATCCCAGGCTAGCCAAAAACTAGGGATCTCCCTGCCTCTCTACAGCTGAGATTAGAAGTATGTTCCACCATGCACATCCAGAATTATCTGCTCCTGACAGGGCTACAAAGATATCGATTGATGTACAGAGAGGTTAATTATGCCCAAATAGACTTTAATTCATTTCCCCAGTCAACCGCAGTCTCTAACGTAGCCTCTTGTCCCTCCTAAGCCTGTGAGGGTTATTACATTATGCCTGTTCTTTTTTGTTTGGCTGGTTATTTTGGTTTTTTGAGACAGGGTTTCTCTTCATAGCAGCCCTAACTGTCTTGGAACTCACACTCTAGACCAAGCTGACCAAGAACTCACAGAAATCCACCTGCCTCTGCCTCCCAAGTACTGGGATTAAAGGTGTGCACCACCACCACCCAACAAGCCTCCAGTTCTTTAGCCATAGAATTTTTTTATAGTTTAGAACTTGTACAGTAGGTGAGAGGCTCAAACAAATTAATTATAGTTAGCTAGCACATGGTACTCCTGTATTATTGCCTGTAAGCCAAGCTCTCAGGAGGCTGAGACAGGAAGATTTCTAGGAGTTCAAAGTCAGCTTGGCCTATGACTATGTAATGAGTTACAGGCCAACCTGGGTTGGACAGTGAGACACTGTCTGAAAAGACAACAGAATATTTTAGTTATACTTAGTATGCTTGCAATACTTCCTCCCTAGATGCCAGATAGCTACAAGAATTATTTCAGTCTTTTATCTAAAAAAAACTTAAAATTTTAAGAGTGACATAAAACAGTACAACCTATTAGAGAACTACTATGTGTTTTCTATTTTTTTTTTGAGAAAGAAGGGAGGGCAAATTACACACTGCATTCATTAAGTTGGCATTCTATATTCTGTGTCTTGGACAGTGGTGTTCAAGATCTGAAACACACCCCATTAGATGTACAGCTGTCTCTAAGAGCTAACAGGATGAAGACTATCATATTCATTTTGGATGCCTTTCTGTTTTCTCTTGTTTTGAGACAAGATCTTAGTAGCCTGCCTAGTCTGGCCTTGGACTCACAGCAATCTGAGTGTCTTAGCTTCGTAAGTGTTGGGATTGTGCCCAACTGTGGATGACCTTTTCTATGAGTATGCAAAGCCTCAAACCAGTCATCTCTACAGGGAGGTACACCAAGTGACATGGAAGGACTATTGCACTGGAGGGGGTGAGGGAAGATAAATGGGGAGCACCCTCCCCCTCCTCTTCCAGGCCCTTGGTGCCAAAACTATAGTGGGAACAGCGGCCATATTTTCCCAGTTAGAAGGACTGTGGCTTGGCTCTGTGCAGCCTCCGCTGTCTCTGAAATCCTGGTCACACAGTCACCAGCTTAACACTCACTTGGCTCTTTTACCAAACCTACTCAGAAAAGCAGAGTAGTGAAAAATCCCTGGCTGTTTCTGTCCCCAAGGGAATGGTCCTTTGTTCCTTTCCACACTGAGCCCTGAAATTTGTGAAGTTCTAGGTCATTTACTCTCAGTCCTGCACAATAAGTTAACATTGTTCAAGGACTCACTACTGGGAAGTCTATAAACCATTGTGTAACATAAGTTATAAAGACTTGGTAAAATAAACTTAAAAGTTCCTTTAGGCCATTAATTTTACTGTTATCTATGGGTATTATGGCTTAGGTTGTATTTGCTGATATCTGTCTGTTCATATTGTGGTTAAAATATTATCACTGAAAAGAATGTTTTGTTGTTGTTTTTTTAACATTTCTAAAGCTTACAAAACATTGACCTGCATTTTTTCTCGATAATTTTGATAGCATGATTTTGTGTACTTGGACATTTGTATTGATCTTTCTCCAATTGGAAGACTGATTTTTGAGGTAAGAGAATTTTGGGTTTTTTTTTCAAGTAAGTTTTGAGGAGTTTATAATTGATAAAATACTGAGTAACCTTTGAAACCTTTCATCTTTATTTTGTAGCTATATTGTGATACATGTCCCAAAACATGTAAAAATTTTCAGGTCTTGTGCACAGGAACAGCAGGGTTTTCTGAGAGAGGCATAAAGCTCCATTACAAAGATTCAATTTTTCACCGAGTAGTCCAGAATGGTTGGATACAAGGAGGAGGTGAGCTGTAAACTTTAAATATGACATCAAAACAGAGTACCCTAACGTCTATTCCTTTACCTTTATAGAGTCACAAAGAATTAGGGTTGGCCTCCAATTCACAGAGATCTGAGTGCTGGGATTAAAGGTGCACACTACCACACATGGCCTTGGATAGTCTTTGTGTGTTGGAGGCGGGGCATAGTGTATGTAGCTGTGCGTGAGGTCAAACCTCAAGTGTCATCCAGGCTCTGCCAACATCATGGTCTTTGAGACAGAATTTCTTACTGGCCAGCAACCTTGGATTTTAGGGATGAAAAGGAGTTTGCCCTTCGGGCAAGAAAAGCTGGGGTTCTGGAGAGAAAGCCTTCAAACCTGCTAAACAAACTGAGTGTCCATTCTTTTGTTGTTGTTTTATATCTTCAAGAAATCCCTCTGTGTAGCCCTGACTATCCTGGAACTCACTCTATAGACCAGGCTGGCCTTAAACTCAGAGATCTGCCTGCATCTGCCTCCTGAGTGCTGGGATTAAAGGCATAAGCTACACCAAGATGTTGCTCTGGCTTCTTTTAGGTGAGTTCTGGAATTCAACTCAGGTACTTAAGCTTGCATAGCAAACCCTTCACTGAGCCATCTCCAGCCCAATTAGATATTGATAATAACAGATGTATAACCTAAAGGATGTTTTATATAGTTAAGTGACTCATTAACATCCCTGATTTAAGTTCTACTTCCAGGAACATTGCAAATTAAAAAGTGAGAGTGAGATGACATTTTTTAAAATCAAAGAGTACTTCTTTTTTTTTTTTTTTTTTTTTGGTTTTACGAGACAGGGTTTCTCTGTATTGTTTTGGAGGCTGTCGGTCCAGCCTGGCCTCGAACTCACAGAGATCCGCCTGCCTCTGCCTCCCGAGTGCTGGGATTAAAGGCGTGTGTCACCACCACCTGGCTTTAAAATCAAAGAGTACTTCTAAAAGTTCAACTAAGAACATAAAAATACCTAGAAGCATGCTAAGGATAAGAATTTGAAAATGGAATAAGGCTGGGCATGCCTTTAATCCCAGCACTTGGAAGGCAGAGGCAGGCAGATTTCTGTGCCAGAACTATATAGAAAGATCCTATCTCAAATTACAACAGCAACAACAACAAAGAAAAAAAGAAGAAAGGAGAAGAGAAAAAGGAAAGAAAGGAAAGGAAAGGAAAGAGAAAGGAGAAAGAAAAGCAAAGAAAATGGAACATTGGATCAGAAGTTAGTCTGAGTGATGTCCCAGCTTTTGAAAGGGAGGCTCACAACTGAAAATAGAACAAAAGAGAAACAATTGATTCCTTGCAAAAGATGCCACATTGCTGCAACTAACTAAGGGTTTGGACTCTATTTTTACCTTGTTTCTCGGGAAGTTCTGTGGCTTTACAAAGAGTAAGCACCTGCACAGTTCGCATTGGGAGGCCTTTCAGAAGATATCCCATGGGGAGCAGTTGAGCAGCAACTTAAAGATTTACTTGAACTTAATGACACCTATAAGCTGAAATTGATGTTGAGCTTTTTTGGTATGAGCTGGAACATTATTGGGTTGGTGAACAAGAAATACAGATTTATTGTAAGCATCTTAAGCTTTTTTTTTCCCTTCAATCTTTCCAAAATGGGGTCATGTCACAAATATTATCTAACATCATTATTCTTCCTGTCAATATGTGATATTTATCTTTTATGCCAGTAAGTGTGTAAATACTTTTTAATCTTTCTAGTTTCTTTTTTTATAATATTGCTAATTCAGTGTGATTCCCATTCGTGAACATCTTGTTTTCAATTTTTGTTAGTATAAACAATACTCAGGAACTATAAACTGGCTGAAGAAGTGGCTCAGTATTTAAAGGCACACACTGCTCTTTCAGAGGGCCTGGGTTCAGATCCCAGCTGCCTGTGACTCCAGTCCTGAGAAATATAAACAATTGTCAAGAGAGACCATGTTGATTTGGTGAGCTGACTCAGCAGATGAAGACTCTTGATGCCAAGCCTGATGGCCACATTCCATCCCTGAGATCCACATAGTGGGAGGCTAGAACTGTGCAATAAGGCACTCTTGCACTGAAACACACACAGACACACACAGATGTAGGCAGAGTTTCTCTGTGTCTCAGTAGTCACTCCCAAATAACCACTCAGAGACTTATTATTAATTATAAACGCTTGGCCAATAGCTCAGGCTTGTTACTAGCTAGCTCTTGAATTTTAAATTAACCCATATTTCTTATTTACCCTCTGCCACAAGGTGGTACCTTCTTTCAACACGTTCATCTTGCTTCTTTTTGCATCTCTCCCAACTCCCCAGACTCCACCTTCCTTCTTCCCAGTGTCCTTTCTGTTTGGCTCTCCCACCTAACCTCTTACCTGCCCATCTATTGGCCAGTCAGATTTTTATTAACCAATGAGAGTAATACATATTTACAGTGTATGAAGTTTGTTCCACAGCACTTTCCCCTTTTTTGTCTAATTAAAAGGAAGGTTTTAACTGTAACATAGTAAAACTATATATAACAAAAATAGTTATTAAGAATTACAGTTACAATATTCAGTCCATTTTTATTTGACAAATCTGGAAAAAAATACTCTATTATTTATCTTACCTTTTTGTTGTTTTTTTTTTTGAGACAGGGTTTCTCTGTATTGTTTTGGAAGCTGTCCTGGAACTTGCTCTGTAGACCAGGTTGGCCTCGAACTCACAGAGATCCACCTGCCTCTGTCTCTGCCTCCCAAGTGCTGGGATTAAAGGTGTGTGCCACCAATGCCCAGCTATTTATCTTATCATTATGAGTCTAAAGCTTTATACCTAATTTACCTTTTTATCATAACTAAGGAAAACTTCATTAATATTTAGTTTTCAACTCTATCAAAGATCCCAGAAGGTTGAAATGTTACCTAATGACAGGGAGGGACATCCAGCTGCCTGGACAGTCACCCAAAGTTCTTCTGCAGCATTTGGGCATCCAACTTTGACCTACAAGCCTAGCATATCTGACAGACATTTTCTGAGAAGCAGGAAATTTTGGGAAAGTTTGACAGTCATTCTCTTTTATGTCCTGCTGGTCCAGTTTGGACAGTATACTGTCAGCAATTGAGGTAAGGACAGTTTCTTTGCCCAAATGGATAGCTTTTGCCATAAAGAAAACAAATTCCATGTGGAGGTTCTTCAATGCCCATAATTTTCTTTTGAAGTAAATTGGTGCTGTCAGGAGCAGATATGTCTCACTGTCATGAAAAGCCTTATGTTATTAAACATATTAAATGCCATATTCTATAGGTCTTTGAAGTGTTTGAAGACCATCTATCTAAATATATCTGTGTATGACCTTGAGAACATACCTAACATGACTATAAAGTTTGACTATTATAGATGACTATTAATCTGTATTTCTTAATTATACCTTACATTTTTAAATGAGCTATGTAAACACAATACCCCCAAATAAGAGTAGAAACATACATACAGTATAATAAAATTAACTTTAAATTTGTATCAATAAACCAAAGTGCATGACAATGTAAAATATTTTGAGATTTATGGATTTTTTTGGATTAAAGAAGATTCAATAATTTACCCTTTTTTCATATCATTCCTATATCAGTAAAAGTGCATTTAATCCCAGTAATAAAAAGTTTGAAGACAGCTGCTGCCCAGTGAGAAGAGACAGACAGAAAGACAGATAGACACCTCAATCAATCAAAATAATAAAAGTTTGAAGACAGCAGTTGCCCAGTGATGGTGACTCTTAGGGACTAGGTTGCTACATTTTATTTCTGTTTCCTTAGAACAACACTTGAGGAAAGTAGGTTATAGTATCTGTTAAAAGTTTCTTTCCTGTATAAGATTTGCAGATGGCTAAGTGTGCAGGTGTTAGGTCATGTTTCAGACAGTGAGAAGACAAGAACACACTGTTTCTTGGGCTAGTTTTATTCCCCTAGATAGCTGTTTCCTTGTTCACCCTTATGTCAGACCTACCATCCTGTGATTAACAAATTAAAACCTTTCAGAATTTATTAACTTAGCAGACCACCAGCTTCCACCAACCCCAAACCTGAGAAAGTCACCAGATAGTATCTGAGGCCTAGAGAATTTCCCCCATCTTGCTGTAACTGCCTCTCTGATGTTTCCACCAATGATTTTTTAATGCCTTGATGTGTAACTCCTTTTTTTTCTGTTACTATAAAATTTCTTGAAACTACTTCTGTGTTGGAACATGAAACCTGAGATAGTCTAGCTCCATGTTTCCTGGGGACATGCACATTCAAATCTGGCTCCACAATAAAGTATCTCTTAACCCCTTTGAGATGAGAACTTGGTTTGGGGAGCATTGTTTTGTCTTTTGCATCAACAATGAATAGCATGATGTAGATGCTCCATTCACTTTTCTCTGTGTGATTCCTGTTGAATCAGATTCTAATTTTTAAAAGCACACTTGTACTTCCAGCTTGCTTACACTTCGATAGGATAGCTCAGTCCTCCAGCCAGTATTTACTGAACACTGTAAAGAGGAGGGGGTGGATAAGAGAGCTAAAGGAAGTAGAGTATACAATGGGGAGGCTGGGACAGAGAAGACACCTGTTTGCCTCAGGTGTGGGTGGATATAAAATAATTTGTGCCTGGAGTCTTTATAGTGGGAATATTGCCTAAGCCAAAGTATGCATCTCCTATGAACACCAAAAACAAATAAACATAAACCCTCTCATTATATCAAAAGGAATTTTGTTTTCAAAACATCATTTAAATACGTTATTTTGGATAACAATTTTTACAGTACAGGTTGTCAAATTCAGGGTCTTGTATATGCAGGACAAGTGTTCTGCCTCTGAGCAACACTCTCAGCCTAAGGTGTCTAAAGGAAGGAGCATCTGAGACTTTAAAAGAACATCTACTTGTTTGCGTGTATATGGATGGTATGGTGGATACACGCAGGTTTGTGTGCACATGTGTGGAGGCCAGAGGTCAGCCTTGGGTACCATTCCTCAAGAGATGTTCACCTTGTTTTGTGAGATCCAGTCTCGCACTGGGATTGGAGCTTGTCAGTTAGGTTGGATGACTGGACAGTGAGCTCAGGACCCACAGGATCAGCAGCATGTACCACCCTGCCAGCTGTGCATGCGGATGCTGGGGGTCAAACTCAGCAAACACTCTACCATTGAGCTACTGCCCCAACGTCTAGAGCATCCATTTGCATTCATGTTCAAAAAACGTTTTTTCTGTTTCATCTGCTTAGTTTACTCTTTCCACATCCCTGAAAAGCAAAGTGAAACATGGAATTTCTTAGTGAGGGTTTCTATTGCTGTGAAGACACACTATGACTAAGGCAACTCTTATAAAGGAAAGTGTTTAATTGGCTTACAGTTTCACAGGTTTAGTCCATTATCATCATGGCAGGACATGGCAGCATGCAGGCAGACTTGCTGAAGGAGATGGAGCTGAGAGTGGAGGAGGTACATCTTGATCAGCAGGCAACAGGAAGTGGTCTGAGACACTGCGTGTGGCTTGAGCATATATGAAACTTCAAAGCCTGCCTCCACAGTGACACATTTACTCCAACAAGGCCACACCTCCTAATACTGCCAGTTACATTCAAACTACCTATGACATAACCTATGAAGGAAACTATTTGTGTGAGCCTCTTCTTTAAATTGTGGCTATGATGATAACATTTTTCAGAGGGTTTTACATTATAACTTGTTACCCCCAGAAAGTTATAACAACACAATGAATTTGTAAAAGTAAAAATGATTACTCTATAAAGTGAAGTGATCATAGTAATATTTTCAGTTGGGCTGGGCGTTGGTGGCGCACGCCTTTAACTTGGGAGGCAGAGGCAGGCGGATCTCTGTGAGTTCGAGGCCAGCCTGGTCTACAGACTGAGTTCCAGGACAGCCTCCAAAACAATACAGAGAAACCCTGTCTCGAAAAACAAAACAAAAAAAATTCAGTTGGGCATCTTCCTCTAGATTTGATGTAAGATGTAAACAGAATCAGATTTAAAGGCACCTTCTTCCCTTTGTCATCACTGTGTTCTAATCTGGTTGTTGTCATTTCTCAGATATAATAGAGGGAAAAGGAGATGGTGGGGAGTCTATTTATGGACCAACATTTGAAGGTAAGTATCTTTCAAGTTTGTCAGTCATATAGTCACTGATTATTCAAATTTAAAAGAATTCAAATGAGATGATTTGTGATAATATTTAGTAGAATGAAAGTTAAAATGGTGTTACCATTCAAACTTCATATATATATGTATATATATATATATATATATATATATACACACACATATATATATATTGGAAATTTGCCCTTACTTGATTAAAGACTAAGTGGCATTCTAAAACAAAACAAAACTAGGATTGGAGATGTAATTTAGTTGGTGGAGTGCTTCCTTGCTTAGCATGCATTAAACCCTGGGTTTATCTCCCAGACAACTGCATATGGTGGGTCATGCTTGTAATCCCAGTTCTAGGTCATCCTCAGATGTGTAGTGAGTTTGACGCCAACCTGGACTACGTGAGACATTTCAAGCAGCCAGCCTCTTGGTCCAGTCCTCAGCAACTTTGTGCACACATTTATTTACCTATTTCTTTAGTATAAACCCCAATGTATGTTAGCCTCCTATTGTTCTATGAAATAGCAGAAATGCTATTAAAGATTACAAGCATCATGGCAAAATGCCAATAGAACCAGTTTGAAGAGACTGTCTCACTGATCAAAGATGTGGTAATTTGACCTTCATAAAAAATAGTAATTGCAATTAGTTGGAAGCCAACATGTATTTTAAACCTACAAGTTCATAATGATACTGTATTATAAAATACAATCTAACTGGTTCCCTTTGGAGGAATGATAGAAAAAGAATTCATCATCTTGGGGCTGGAGAGATGGCATGTTGCTTTTTAGCAAGGATCTGAGTTTGGTTCCCAGCACTCACATCAGGTACCTCACAACCACCTGTAACTCCAGTTCCAAGGGACCTAATGCCCTCTTCTGGACTGCATAGTCACTTACATACATATGCACATATACACCTACCTATATAAATGAAAATAAATCTTTTTTAACTGTTATCTTGAAAACTGAGGTAATTAAACATCTATTTGCCCTTCTCTGTATGAGACATATCAATCTGTAGATAAAGAGAAATATCTCAGCTACAAGTGATGGTACACGCCTTGAATCCCAGAACATAGGAGGCTGAAACAGGCAGATCTCTGTGATTTGGAGGCTGGCCTGTTTTACACAGTGATATCCAGGACATCCAGAACTACATAGTGAGATCCTGTCTCAAATATTTTCTAGATAGATGGATACATGGATGGATGGATGGATGGATGGATGGATGGATGGATGGATGGATGGATGGATGGACAGATGGATGGGTAGATAGGATGGGTGGGTAGACGGATGGGTAGGTGGGTGGATGGATGGATGGATGAAACGTCCTTTTGTAAAAGTATTCCAGAGGCTGGAGAGATGGCCCAGTGGGTAGGAACACCTGGATTGTGCTGTCCTGGATCTCACTGTGTAGAATAGGCCGGCCTCCAAGGCTACACAGAGAACCAAACCCTGTCTCAGAATATTTAGGAGCACAGCTGAGTCAGCTAAAGTGATAGGAGTCCTAGGACAATCTGAATGTCACAGTCTTGGTTAGCGTGGTAGGGTTAACCTGAGGACAGTCCTTTTATGTATGTTTTAAATTAAACCTCATGGTGCCTTCATCATTAGGTTGAGGCTGTACTCAAATTTTACCGATGTAGAAATTTAGGCATAAGGAGAAATTTGCATCCGAGTCCCCTGACCTTTGGCCTGAGGTCTTTTCTCTTTAGCCTAATCTTTCCTCTTTCATAGCACTTTACGTATGGTCATATAGATGTTAACCAAAGGCTTTACATTTCAGCATTTCAGTTTGGAGCCTATGTTGACAAGTAGGATAGTTTCACAAAAGAGCAATCTCTGCTCCTTTGATATTGTCAGTACTAACCACTGTCTTGTAGGTGTCAGGCTTTACATCTTTGATGGAATTGGTTATTAGCAGAGTAATGCATTTGCAGGTCGCAATTCCTGAATTAAGCTAAACTGCATATTCAAAGATATTATCTCTCAACTTCATGTTCATCAATATGTAACTGGATTTCAGGCACAAAAAAGGGCTCTAAAAACACTGGTGGGGAGATTCTAAGTTAAACTATGGATGTCCGGAGGTGTCCCATGTCCCATGAGGTTGGGGATCTTGGTTCAGAGAACAGACAGAGGACATGAGGTTTTGGGGTAATGGCAGTCAACGGTCCAGAACTGTTGCATCCTGAATTCTTATTTATGATCTCCTGTGTCTTGTTTCAATCTCCAGGATCACGGATGGTAGTATGTACATGTGTTTAAGGTTACCTGGAAATAAACCTCTAAATGTATCGAACCTAACAATCTACATTCTAGTCATTGTAACCCCCCCCCAATGGTCAAGTGCCTAATTAGGACTCAACTTAGAAAGCTGAGTGGCTTATTGACAGTGTCTCATCACTTTGAATACTTCTCTCTCCTTTAATAAATATGTCTACTGTAAAAAAAAAAAAGGAGTCCTAGGATTATAGCCACCAGACAAGGGTCCTTACTCACACACACAACAGGAAACACCATGAACCTGTATAGACCAATGACTCCAGCTTATGAGAACTGTGACAACTCTGTGTAAGATGCTGTGGGGGAGGGCCAGACCCATAAAAGACTTGAGAAAGGTTTTTATAAGGCTCACATTGGTTATCTGAATGAAGGTCCACTGCAAGCAGCATGAGGAAGCCTGTTGTCCTTTACTCTAAGAAACACATATACTGAGGACACTGGTTTCTAGCTATGGTAAAGACAAAGGAGCTAAATGCTCAAGTAGTTCTAGTAAGATCTTACAACTTCAAACACGTTTGTTTAAATATTTGGAAATAATTCAAACTAATGGGAATGTTTACAGTTTGGAGTATATCGGTAAGTGCTATGAAGTCTATTCCCAAGTTCCCTTTGCTTCTTACATGTTGTAATTGTTGGGAACAGTACAGATACTTCAGTGACCTACTGATTATTCTTTCCCAGATGAAAACTTTTCAGTTCCTCATAATAAAAGAGGCATTCTTGGAATGGTAAACAAAGGTCGTCATACCAATGCGTCACAATTCTACATCACACTGCAAGCAGCTCCCTATCTGGATAAAAAATATGTGGCTTTTGGGTATGTACATTATAGATTTTTCTGCATAGTATTCACACATATAAAATGTTGCTCAAAAGTAATTTGCACAATTATTGTACATAGTCTGATTAGCCGAAAATAGAGCTGGGTAATATAAAATGATGTAGACACATCTACAATAAACATTTATAACAAATTTGTTATCCATAGAATACAGAAATTATGGCTGGCAAGGTGGCTCAGAGGGTAAAGGTGCTTGTTGCACAATCCTGTTGATTGAGTTCAATTCCTGGAACCCACATAAAGACTGAACTCCATAAAAACTGTCCTCTGACTTCAACTCATTTGCCATGGTTAGCACACCACACACATACATAACATACAATAATATTTTAACACAGAAATTAATTAAACACAGCTATGGTAAGGTTCTGTCTATTCATGTATCTACCTGTCACTCTGTCTGTCTGTCTATCTGTATGTACCTACCTACCCACTTATCTATCATCTTCAGTCTTCAGATTACTATCAATTCTTACGACTAATCAAACTGTAGTATTTAATAATATAGATATAGTTACCTGCCGAAATGAGAAGTTGATGCCTATGAGATTGTCTCTGACTTCAATAATAATTATTAGAATACTAGTAAGAAGCTAATTAGCCTGTGAACCAAAGTGGGTAACGGATGTACTTTTCATCACTCAGTGTCTTGCTCCCTTAGTTACTGGTGAGGCTTTAAGGAAAGGGAACATAATGTCTTGCCTGGGGTCATGCAGTCAAACATCTTAAATACTTATTACGTTATGTCAGTCTCTCCAGAGGATCACCTACTGCATCTGTACCTCATAAAGGACTTTCATATCACTCTTCATTTCAGCCTTAATAATTCCCTTATCTTAATGCTTTCTGTGATACTGCCAGGCTGGGAAGAGTGGAGAATTAATTTTCTTTGAAAAGACAGCCTTAGTTAGATGACTTTCCATTCATAGGTTCAGAGCTTTATGAGATGCTTTCAAATTCTCCCACACCAGTAAAGTATTCCGATTGTTTTGTCTGTAAAATGTTGTTGTTTGTGAAAATGCATTCTCTGTGTGTGTGTCTCTGTCTCTTTCCCCCCTCCCCCACCCCAGCATCTCACTATGTAGCCCTGGCTATCCTGGAACTCATTCTGCAAACCAGGCTGGCCTCAAACTCACAGACATTCTCCTGCCTCTGCCTCCCCGGTTCATGGATTAAAGGCTTGTGCTGAAAATGCATTCTTGAATTAATTTTAGATAACCTTACCTCCTCTCAGAACATTTGAATATCCTCTGTCTTCTTGTTGGCGATCTATAGCCCTTCTGCCAAAGCCCTGCTGACCTCTTGTACTCATTAAAGCCGCTTTCTCAGACACAAATGTGACTACTGTGAAACTGCCTGCCTGCATCACCACCGCCTACTGCAGACACATAAGGCACACAGCCCAGTGACTCATTCTGCACCTCTCCTGCTCTACACCTGTCTTCAGTCCTCATTTTTGCTATTTTCTTGATTCATTCAGATTTTTAGTGGGTACCTGCCATCCGCATTACTGATGTTTAGAGTGGGAGAGGGTGGCAAGACACGGGCCTGCTCTTCAGACACCTTAGATCCCACCAAGAAAGGCAGAAACAAACAAACAAAAGGACCCCACCCAAACCAAAGAGACAAACAGAAAGCAGAGACTGCAAATGGTTACTGGGAAGGCTTGAAGTGAGATAAAACAACACCCTCCAATTCCTTGAATACAAGCGAACTCGGATTCCCAGGGATGTCTGTTGAGAGTGGTCCTTGGGAAAATCTCACTTCTGTTGCCATCCCCACTCTGGCCTCAGGGAGGCAGTATATCCCTTTTATTGTTTCAGCTTATCCCTGAACTCTTCTGATGCTAGTTCAGTCAGGTTGGAATATCTGAACAAGACCCAGCAGAACATGGAGGAAGCTGGAGAAAGGTAATAGCAAAATAGACAACCCATGTAGTTGGGGTAGATGCCCAGGTGAAGCTGCTGTTTCCTGGGATCTCCCAGCATTTCAGCTTCAGGAAACCCATGTGTGATTAGCAAGGCCTGGAGACACAGAAGTGTCCTCCTATCTGAGGCTAGCCCCCTTTCCAAGTTCTAGTGTCTGAATTTAGATGATGCTAGGAATGCTTATCCGCACAGACTGCAGCAATCCACAGGAGGGCCTTGTCCAGTGTCCCTCATAGGGAAAGGACATAGAAACACAAGCTTGTGCTGGGTGGCTGTGGTGGTGGTGCACACCTTTAATCCCAGCACTCTACAGGAAGAGGCTGAGTTTGAGGTCAGCATGGTCTGCAGATTGAGCTCCAGGACATCCAGAGCTACACAGAGAAACCCTGTCTCAAAAAACAAAGAAAAGAACCTTTGGGCTGGAGAGATGGCTTGGTGTTTAAGAGGACTGGCTGCTCTTCCAGAGGACCTGGGTTCAATTCCCAGCACCCACATAGTGGCTCACAACTGTATATAACTCCAGTTCCAGGGCATCCAACACCCTTGCAAGACAAATGTGCACATAAAACAAAACTAACATTTTTTTTAAATGCAAGCTTGTAAGATTGCTGCCCATGGGTACACATGGGAGAAGTGTGGGGAATATGCACTGGGGATGGTGATAGGAGAATTTCATTTCCAAGGGGTCTTAAAGTGAGATGGAACTGTGCAAGACTCTGTGAGAACGTGAACCAGGTAGCTAAAGTAAAGTAGAAGTTAACCAGATAGAGGAAGGGGACATTACGATTAATCAAATCAGTTTTCTAAAGCATACGGCACTCTTACAATGCCCTAAGGAATGGGAGGAGCATGTCTACAACTCAGCTTGTCTAGCTAGCGTGTGAAGCCCAAGGGAGAATGGAGATAGGATGGAGGAAGGGGATGGACAAGGACCACTGTGCCACAGGTGCATGCCGGCTTCAGCATGTGGACTTCTTCCAAAGATGCTGAGGAACTACAGGAGAATTTTAAATGTAAGCAAACTGAACAGCTCATTGGGAAAGCTTTCTGTAGAAGTCAAGAGTGAACTGGAAAGGAATTTAAAAGTATAGAGTCCAGTTAGGAAGGTCTAGTCATAACAGGTATAGATGAAGTTCTGTTTACAGCACTGGCAAGATAGGCAAGCTGGGAGGGAGTGGGCAAATGTCAATAATATTCAAGATACATCCATGGAGCTTGATGACTAAAGATGCTGAAGGTATGAGCATAGCAGGGTCTGGATCAGTGTTCTACAACTGAGCATTCTGTAATGATGGAAATCTATAGTCTCCAGTGCCCTATACAGCAGCAGCCACCAGACACCCATGGCCATTGAACACTTAAAATGTGATCAGTGCAACTAAGAAAACGTACTTACTCTGCTTCTGAAAGTTTTAGGTGTGTGTGTTTGTGTGTGTGTGTGTGTGTGTGTGTGTGTGTATGTGTCTGCCAAGGCCAGAAAGTTTTAGGTGTGTGTGTGTGTGTGTGTGTCTGTCTGTCTGTCTGTCTGCCAAGGCCAGAAAAGGACACTGGGATCCTTGGAGCTGGAATTAGAGATGGTTGTGAGCCATCCAATGAGGGCACCGAACTCTGGTTTTGTGGAAGAGCAAGTGCTTTGAACTAGTGAACCGTCTTTTATTGGTTCTAAATACATTTAATCACTCACCTGTTGTTAGTGGCCTCCGCACCAGCAGCTCTGTAGTGACTTCCCAGGTTTGAGAACTGGATACATGGTTGGTACCATTCACCAAGAGAGACCATTGAAGGAGGATTTACAAGGGATCAGCTGAGACTAGCTAAATTGCATTTAAGATTGATACCTATGGGACAGTCCTGGGGAAATTAGAGGAGAGATATTCAAGCAGGTCAGGTCTGGATGCAATTTAGAAGCAATCTGATTGGTAGCTGAGCTAAAGCCAGACCCTAATACCACCACTCTAGAACAGTCTCTGGCCTTTCCTTATCTTGTTCCCTTTCTGTCTCCCTTCAATCCAATGAAATCCTATTTAAGGATTAGGTCCTAGGTCCTGGCAGATGGCTTCTTGGTCCTCTTTGGCACACTGTGAACAACTTAGAGCAGGGACTGGGTCTTGCATGTCTTGTACCCTAACACATCACAGTAGCGAGGCACACATAAGCGCTCATTCAGTATGTGTGAAACCCGTTTGGAAAAAGGCGTTATGCCTCACTAAACAGAGGTGGTTCTGTGCTAATCTTCTGCTGACATGTTCCCATGATGCCCTTTGTCTTCATCCGTTTCCTCTTGTTATCACAGCTCCATGGTCTGAGTAATTTATAAGTGTTTATTTGGAGCTAGGTGTTCTAAGAGCATGATGCTGGGCCTCTGGTGAAGGCCTGCAAGACTGTGTCATAATGTGAAGATAACCAACTCAATCCTGCGAAAACCATGGACCATTCATCAGGGCAGATCCCCAACAACCAATCACCTCTGAAAGCCCCCAATACCACCACAGTGGTGGTTCACCATGAGCTTTGGGGGAGCATTTAAACAGTACCCTATGTTGGAGCTTCAGATTGGGTTGGCAATATAGAGACCAGAGCAGATGAAGAGGATATGCATGTGGTCCGTGTTGGCACTGCCCACACCCTGTTAAGGTTTATGCACTAGAAACTGGCCACCTCCTCCCAACCACTGACTTAACCCAAGCACTGGCAGAAGACACTGCTCTGTGTCTAGGCCTATCTCTCTGCCATTGTCTCAGTTAGGGTTACTATTGCTGTGAAGAGATACGATGACCAGGGCAACTCTTACAGTTTCAGAGGTTCAGTCCATCATGGTAGAGAGCATGGCGGCAGAGAACAGACTGGTGCTGGAGCTGAGAGTGCTGCATCTTGCAGGCAACAGGAAGTCAACTGATACACTAGGCAGTATCTTGAGCACAGGAGACTTCAAAGGCTGCCCCCACAGTGACACACTTCCTCTAACAAGGCCACACCCACCCCAACAAAGCCACACCTCCTAATACTAGCATTCCCTATGAAATTATGGGATAATGGGATTATGGGACCCAATTACATTTAAACTACCACAGCTGTATACTGATGCATTATGTTTGGTTTTTCTGTTTGTCTTTGTGTATATGAATGTTACAAGTATATGTTTATGTAGGTATGTGCCCATGTGTGTGTTGATGTACAATGTGTGACCAAGCATGTGGAAGCCAGTGGTCAATGGTGCCTTCCTCCGTCTCTCTCTCTCTCTCTCTCTCTCTCTCTCTCTCTCTCTCTCTCTCTCTCTCTCTCTCTCTCTCTCTCTCTCTCTCCCTCTCTCCACTGTATTTGTTTTAATTTTAATGAAATGAGCTAAACATCCAGCTAATAGGTAATGAGTTTCAGAACCAACCACATGCTTCCTATGAGAAATTCACTAAGTATGGTGATATCAGTAGTTTAAAAGGTACTGTTAATTGGGACTGGAGAGACAGCTCAGTGGTTAAGGCAGTACTGTTCTTACAGAGGACAGGAGTTCTACAGACCCTGACTCTAGCTCAAGGCCAATGCCTCTGGCCTCCAAGGGCACCTGCACAAACACACGCACGCACACATGTGCATATACCCACACAGGTAACTAAAGTTAACAAAAAGAAAGTTGGGTGACTTGGATTTAGCAATGGTTCTGATATCTGACCTCTAAGACATGAGCAATGCAAGACGACAGGAAAATTGGAATGTCGACAAAACAAAAAACTTGTGCATCAAAAGACATCATCAAGAAAGTCAGAGAGACAACCTACACCAACAGCATGGGAATAAGTAAAAAACTCTTATCGGGAGTGGGGAGAGAGCCTAGATGGTGGAGTGCTTGCCTTGTGTGCAAGGCTCATCTCCAGCATCCCAGCACAACCTTCTGTAAAGATCTAGGTGTGATGTATGCACCATACTTCAGGAGACACCATACTCATTGAACCTGGAGCTCGTCTGTTTGGCTTAGGCTGGCTGGTCAAAGAACCACAGGATCTGCCTGTCTCTCCCCATCACCAACCCACACTGGGGTTCCTAACCTAGGTCTTCATGTTTGTGTGCATACATTTCACCAAGTGATCCATCTTCCCGGTTTTCATACTGTTACCTTCTAGCATCCCTCCTCTGATGTTCTAGCTCATGGCCAGTGAGTGTCTACAGAGGCCCAACCAGCATGGGCTTGAGTGCTTATTCATGTACCCAGTGGGTGGCGGTTAGGTGCCCAGCATGTGTCAGGCTTTGAGTGAAAGTATGCCTCTGCCCTCAAGGGAGAAACAGAAGTTAACGAATGAATGAATGAATGAATGAATGAACGAACAACCGAACCAGTGAGTGAATGAATAAAAGACCTCGTGGCCAGTGAGGTTGCTTGGTGGGTAAAAACACTTGCCACACAAGTCTGATGACTGGGAACCCATGGTCGAAGGAGAGGAGAAAGTTGTCTTCTCACATGCATACATGCACACCTCTGTACACCTGCACTCCCGTGGACCCTCCCTCCTTCTCCATCCCTCTCTCTCACACACAAAAGAAGTCAATTTATATAAAAAATATTCCACCCCTGTAAACACCTCTATTGGGGAGGGGGACTTAAGTACAAAGCCCTAGAAACCTTTCCCAAGAAACTAAAGACTTGAGATAGGAGCTGGTAGGCCTGGAGATGGCTAGGCATCTGTGTGGAACAGAGCAAGACATCCCTGAGGGCCAGTGGGAGGCAGAACAGGCAGCTTTACGGGCCACAGGAGTGCTAGTCTTCATCAGAAGACAGTGAGGAAGGGTTTAGAGCAGGGAGGTGACGTCAGGTTTGTATTTCTGATGGTTCCCGACTGCAGTGAAGATGGCCAGCAGGATGGATAGATGCCAGTGCAAATGAAGCTGTGCTGGCTGAAAGCTGCAGCAGGAGACGCTTCGAGGCAGCAGGGACCGCTGACCAAATAGCGGAACTGGTCATGCAGGCAGCAAAGTGGACACACCTGAAGCCATTTCAGATATTTCCAATTGCAGTTCGTGTGTAATAGCCTTCGCTGTAGTTGAGTAGGACTTCATTTGTGAATGTAAGCTAAATGTAGAAATCCAAGACTGACCACATTTTAATTCCCTCCTATGCAGGCAAGTAATTGAAGGAACTGAAGTTCTTAGAAAACTAGAATTAGTTCCAACAGAGAACGAAAGACCGATGCTTCTTTGCAGAATTACAGACTGTGGAATTCTTTATACCTGATTCTCACAGCAACCCGATGTTCTGTAATGGTTTCTTACTATGCATTTGATCAGCTGTTTTTATATTTAATTAAATGGTGCTTGATAACATTTGATTCAAAGGCCAAGCAGACACAATAGGTTGGTTCATCTGACAGTCACTCCCCTTTTTACTCTCTTGCCTCCACTACAGAGACTATTAAAGTACTCAATTTCCCAGGCTTCTTTACAACTGGAAAGGCCATTTGAGAGCTCTGGATGACAGGTCACTGGAACGCCAGTGATCTTGTTTCCACCCCTCATCATGTCTTGAATACAGATAGGCTGGGAACCAAGAGAACTGCTTAGCCGTCAGCCTCACCTCACCAACTCCTCTTTCTGGAATTTTTACTACATAAGGCAAATAGAGTTCTGGGTTCTATTCCTTTTTTTTTTAAACTTGTGGCCCTGAACATTATTAACCTACCAATGTACCTACTGAGTGTTTAGTCTAAAGCATTTGTAAATGAATTATGCTGTTTATAACTACATTCCTATCATGATAAACTTTGTAAGTAACTAACACAATAGAAGAAACAATTCAGTGTGGAGTTTACATTGCTTATGCACAACATACAGGAAGGACACATGGATTTGGATGTTGTAAATACAATACATGTCTTGGAGCCCTTCCAGCCATATGAAAATCAAGAGCTTGGGTTGATCCTTGTGGTGGTTAATCCCACTGACATTGGCAGAGCTGTTTTATCAGCTACTCCATCTGAAGGTTCCTAAGACTACATCACTTGTAGGAAGGCTTTTTAAATATAGGCCACCAGCCCTGTCACTGACCTCCTGAGTGACAGTCTCTAAGAGAGAGAATCTCAAGATGGAGACAAAAGACTTAATTTAGTTCTTTCTTACTTGGACAGCTGAGCATCAGTCATTTGGGAACCACAGGATGACAGAATTATCTGACTTCAGCACCCCTGGTGTTGTCACCATAGCATTGACACTCCTGGTGACTGCTCAACTACTTCCACCTCTACCGTGAGCCTCTCCCACTCTTCTGACTTTCCAACCGTGCTCCAAAGGGGGCTTGTCTTCCAAGGACGATCTCCCCTTAAACCGATTCTGAAAGAGACAGGCTATAAATTGATTGGGGGCTTGCCAAATGTAGGCATATTATTTGAGACAATTGCAGATTCACAGGAAGTTGCAAAAACAGTAGAGAAGTCTTGTGTGCCCTTCACCCAGTTTCCACAGTACTTCCATCCTATGTAACTATAGTACAGTATCAAAATATGCAACTAACATTGCTGCAAGTGTGTGACGCCATTTCATCATGTGACACTTCATGAAGATCACCCTCACTCTACCTCTTCTTACCCATGCTGCCTTATTGCTGTGCCATAGATACACAAATACAAAGCTCAAGTGTAGATGAGGAGAAAGAAAACTGTCCATTCCCCATTGTCAACTGACCCAGAGATGACACAGTGCTAAGAACTTGTGCTCTAGAGCCAGACTACTCGGGTTGGAAACCAGGCTCTGCCCTTTCCTACCTGTACAACTTAGACAAGAACTTCTCTGGACCTTTGTTTTCTAATGTAAAAAACAGGTGTTGCTATCCTCATGGCTGTTGTCCAATATCAGTAAGTAATTTATATAAAGAACCTAAAAAAGAGGCTTGGTATGCTGTAAGTGCCCAATAGATGGATGCCCTATTTGATATTCAATAAATATTCATGTATAACTGGCAGGATATGGTCTCTGAATGTGTTCCCTGTAAATGTTCTTTAAGACTGATCAAGAGCCACATCAAATTGAGCTTCTTTGTCTGAGTACTCAAGCTATTGTTTATTTATTTTGAAATTCTAAAACAGAACCTCACTATGTAGCCCAGGCTGGGGTTGAACTCCAATCATGCTTCCTCGGCCTTCCAAGTACTGGGATTATAGGTACGCACTACCATATCTGAATAACTAAGCCCTGGTTTTTCTGTGAAGCTCCCAGACCCCCTCTCTGGGACCTGAGCCAGTCCACAGGTCTCGCTGGTGTTCTCACAAAAGGGAACAGGGCTTGCTACCATGACTTACCAACCTTTGAGACAACCACACTGAAACTCCTGGGCTTTCCAAGGATCCTGGTTAAAACACATGACCAGCAGGGGTGAAGTGGTAACAAGATCAGGTTCTACTAGCATGAAAACTATCAATGGCCTTATACATTTTATATGATACTGTGAAAGAACTGGGATATTCACTTGGTACGAGAAGCTGATCCAGTACATGGCGTAGTGGTTCACACCTGTAATTCCAGCACTGGGCAGGTGGAGGCAGCAGGTCAGCCAGCATGGGTGTATAGTTTTCAAGTCCAGCCCAGGTTACTCAGCCAATTCAAACCAGCCTGAGATACATGAGAATCTGTCAGAGAGACAGACAGAGAGAGGGGGAGGGAGGGGGAAGAGGAGGGGGGAGAGGGGGGAGGGAGGGGGGAAGGGGAGGGGCGGAGGGATATTCTTATTTCCTTTAGCAGTAACATAAAGGTAGAATTGTTCCTGATCCTTTTGTTCACTTCTGTTCTACTTCTGGGCCACAGAAACTTTAATTTCAAATCTACATGTGCAGTGGTTCTTAGGACAACCATTTTAAAGTATATACATTGATTCTTCCATGCTGGAGGTAGAGGCAAGAGGATCAGAAGTTCAAGACTATCCTTTACGACACAGTAGTTTGAGACTATCCTAGACTACCTGAGACCTTGCGTCAAAATAATAAAAATTTAAAATCTATCAAATTATAAAAATAAAAATGGCATTTGCCCCAACTATAAACAGCTACTGATTACGATTACTTAGCAATGAATGGTCCATCAACATCAAGATTCCAGGTTCTTGAAGTTACATTTTATGAGTTTTTTAAGTTAAACATGTTTGTTCTAGACTCGCCTTTCCTACAATGATGACAATAGTCAAATTATTTAACCTTTTGCTGACCTCACTTGTACCAATAATACAAATAAAGCCACTGTCTGCCTGCTGGTCCTAAGATTCCCATGATTCTCTGAGTAAACCTACAAAAGCAACAGCAGTACACTGCTTTATTCGGGGGCTTCACTTCATTAGTAAAATAGGACTACATCTATTTCTGTGTTTTGAGAGATGAGAAGGGAAGAGATTTCTAATGATGTCTGGCACACCAGATACCCAATAAAAACTTGGTAATATACTCCCACAAAACCAGTTCAGTGACAGTGCATAATCATTTCAAGGGGCATTAAGACCTTCTCGTACTTGTATTGCCACACGATACCATATGAACTTCTCAGTAACCCAACGAGCTAATTGAAAGGTTCCTTTCATGCTGACTGGTACTTCCCCCCTTAGAAACCATACTGTTATTCCCTACATTCCCAGAATGGAATCACCACTGTTTACACAGGCAAATCTTAAGTCCCCATCAGACTTCATACATCAAACAAATATAGGTAATAAACTGAACTACAAGTAATGTACAGCATAGATCACAAAGCTGGTCATTAGGCTTTGTAACTGTGCTGAATCACATGGAACAGGATGTTTTCTTGCTGTGTTCTAGCCGAGAATAGTTCTCTAGGATAGACCAGAGCAAGCATTGTGTGTGCCTCTGTACATGGGGACATCACAGCTCATGCAGAACATCAGAAAGCTTCCCAGGATGTTATCTCAACACATGGACTCCCTAAGCAACAAGTCAAGAAAAAGTTTTCCATTTCTTAAATTGAGAGGTGATGCAAAGAGCTCGAACAAACCCAGAGTTAAGCAGAAGAGAAATGTAAACCTCAAAGCTGGGTGTGTGGTCCATACCTGAAATCCTAGCATGCAGGAAGATAAGTTTCAGGCTAGCCTGGGATATATAAGTTCAAGACCAGCCTGGGCGATTTAGGAAAAGGAAAGAAGCCATACACCACAGGTACTGCCTCCAGGGGAAGCTGTCTGGGTTCTGTGGATCTTGCACCCCCAGTTTTGGGTTGTTTGTATAACAAGCTTACATTTGTAAAGTCAAAACATGTCCTACTATAATTTTGTAGGTGAGTTACTATTTAAACTGGCAATTCAGGACAGATGAGTTCTGGGCATGTTGTAGTATATAGAGCAGCCTTTTAGACCTCATAATATACATATATACATATCTTGTGAGGATCTTGTGAAAATCAAGTTCTGATTCAGAGACTGAGCTAAGTCTCAGTACTTTACATTCTGAACAAAATTCTAAGTCTCATAACTCCTTATCTGTTTATGGACCACTCTCAAAAGCACGGGTAAGGTGGGAGGTTTCTAACAATTGTAGGCTAGGAACACTGGGAAACTTCTGAAAATCTGGGTGCTGAGGTCTTTCAAACCCATTAAACCAGTCCCTAGACAGCATTTTTTTTAATGCTCCAATGTGCAACAAAGTTGAGAACTCAAGTCTTGAATCAGAGACCTGGGGCTATTATCAGTGAAATATCTACAGAGTGGAGGAGACCCTCCTGTCGTGTCTGCTGCGTGGCCTGTGCCTGAGAACATGCGGAGGGTGTCGGGGATTGACAACACAGAGACTTGTTCAACGATGTAAAGAAAACTTTAAGCAGGCCCCAAAAAGGTTCAAGAAAACTTCCTAAGAAAGGCTCTCTCCAGAAAAGCTTCTGCTCTCTCCTCTACCCTGGCTGGTTCTGCTCTGACACCAAAAACTGATCTGGGCGTGGCAGAAGAGGCGGCTAGTCTTTGGACAAGGTCGAGGTCGTGGCAGTTTCTGTGGGCAGGCCTTTTCCAGGAACTTATTGCCCCGGGCATTGTATTGTTTTTAGTAAACACGTTTTTAGTAAACATTGTCTTACAGCTGCCTACTCCCAGGCAGAAGGGGAAGTGGGTCTCTGCTCAAGGTCTGGTGTTCCCACACCCTCCAAATAAAAATGTCTGCTATATTATCAGTCCAAACTACACATACTGTCAAACTAAGGTTAAAAATATGAACGATGATTGGTTAAGAACACTTCCTGCTTTTCCAGAGGACCTGAGCTCAGTTTCTAGCAATCATGTTGGGTGGCTCACAACCTCCTTAACTCCAACTCCAGGGTATCTGATGCCTTCTTCTGACCTCTGGGGACAGCTATATACACAGGCACCCATATCCCCAACCCCTACACATAATTTAAAAGTTCTTTAAAATCAGAAATTAGTAATCTGCTATCATTAGAAGTCTTTGCTGTTTTGCTGTTGTTGTTGCTTTGCATTTTAGGCAAATGTTTTACCTCAGAGCTCCACCTCTAGCTTGTTACAGCCCTCCTACTGAAAGCGTGTACGTGTTAAAATTGTGTGATGGGTGCTTGGGAGATGGCTCAGTGGCAGAGGACTGGTGTTTGGTTCCCAGCACCCACATAACTCATAACCACCTGTAACTCCAGCTCCAAGGGATCTGCCGCCATCTGCTGGCCTCTTGGGCAGCAGATACACATGTGGTATGCATATATGCAGGTGAACACTTAATACACACAATAAGAACAAATCTTTTTAAACATTAAGGTTAAGTCTGGCTCAGAAGGTAAGAGAGCGCACGCACACACACACACGTGCACACACACACATGCAATAAAACACTGCTTTACAAATTCCAGCCTTAGTAAATATAATAAAAAAAGTGTATTATACATTCCAGTCCTTGCTTCCCACCCATTCCCTCTTGTGCGTGTAATTCCGACCTATAGCTAGAGAGGGCCTACATCCTGGGAGCTAATTGTAGAACTTGCCCTCCTGAGCTTAGACACAGCTATTTTTGGCAAAGGTGGACAACTGACCCAAATGAACCTTCCTTCCTTCCTTCTGTTCTTTCTTTTGGTTTTTCCAGACAGGGTTTCTCTCTAGCTTTGGATGCTGTCCTGGAACTCAGTCTGTAGACCGGGCTGGTCTCAAACTCAAACTCACAGAGATCTGCCTGCCTCTTCGGATGGAATTTTTAAGGACAGCTTTCTAGAGGTAGTGAATCTTAGCTTGAGAGACCTGTAGGGAGAAGTGAGAATCGCCCAGATTTCAGAATTGTTGAGTGGTCTGGGCAGAGGAACTGTTAGGATGATCCAGAAGAAAAAGAAAACACAAGCAGTTTGGACTGGCAACTCGGGAGCTCTCCTGTAGACTCTGCTACTGACTGAGGGGGAAAAGGTTGGTAGCTATGATGGATTCAAGGGTGCCAAAGTTGAGAAATAAGACAATAAACAGACTTCTGCTCCCTTTTGAACTGAAAACAACTTTCTTCTAGTCTTGAAATTATCCCCTTATAAAGACTAAGAAAATCGGAGTACTGGAGTTGAACATTCAAATGTTAATCAATTGTCCCCTCAGCAGTGTGTGTTCATCCTAGGGTACAAACGCGATCATCGATTTGGGAACAGGAGAGATGAAACATAACCTCTGTTCTTAAATATCCCAATGTTCGAAGTTGAGCAGTGTCTTCGTTTAGCCTGGGTGTCATGTGGTGTTTGAGAGAACAGCAGCTGCTTCTCGGAAGCTGTGATGATGACACCTAGTAATTGACTGCTCTTTAATGATTCGGGCCATTGGTTTGATCAATCACAGCCCACCAGCTTGTTTGCTTTACACTGAGTATCCGCAAAGGGACCACATCGATTCCAGGGGGAAATAAAGGGTTTCAATCTTAGGCTAAAGTTGTAAAAAATGCTTCTGGTACAGTTAATATTCGCGTTACGCGGTAAATTGTGCATAATTAAAATGATGGCATTTAAATT